ACCGTCGTCGTACATTATTACTTAATATTTAAACACAGTCAGTGCGCACATCCGGCGCAGGCGCCGATCGGAAAGCAACTCAAGCTCTTCACGACCGATTCTACGCACTACTGACAGCTTGACTTTGACAATTGACACTTTACAACCTGTAAGATGTCTATGATATTGCGTGGTGTTGCCATTACGTGGTGTTGCCATTGTAATCAAACAAATTACACCGTGTTCTATTATAACCTAATCTCTGACATATATAACAGAATCTACATTTAACCCATTTACAGCATCAAAGTTCAACAAATTCAATGTCCTTCAGCTTTAAGATACATTCCAAATTTACAGAAACACGTGAATTCGCCGCGTGGGTACCAAGAAACATCACTGGTCGGTCCCAGTGGGAGCACTGACCCCAATCCCCAAACTGGTTGGAGCGACCGACACGACAAGACAAACGATATATTTACTTTACAATCGAATAGGTGCTGTAAACTGAATAAGTGAATTTAAGTTATTTTTGTACAAAAGTCTTCTTTCTATACGACACTCAGATTTCTGCTCTTTTCTTTTGTTTTTTTTATAGGATTAGGCGTCTTATTTATGTGGATTATCTATTTCATGCCCCGTCATAGAAGCGATTAGTTCAATGTAACCATGGGTATAGCTGTTTATATCATTATTCGGTAATTCATCATGTTGACCTAGTTCTGACGTAGTCATTTTCTAAATACAATTCATGAAATTGTTAACTACATTATGAAGTGATCAATTCTATGGGCGTTGGCATTTCTTGGTTTAATTAAAACCAACCCTTGTAAGTTTTATATTAATAAAATAATTTTTATAAATATTAATTATTTTGTGTAATTTTAATCTAGATTTAATATGAAATATTAAAGTCTAGATATTAACAGAGTTCATATACAAGAGCACAATATATATATGTAATTACAATAACAATCTATGAGATTGAAATACTATATCCTATATAAGTATTGTAATAGCTATATTTAACTATTCTGCAGCATTTCAATAACTCTGCTTTAAGTTTGATAAAATTTAATTGGCAACTCTGAGTATGGTTTTAAGAAATTTATACGAATTAAATACTGGTTAATGTTACAATTTATGTAATGAATGGTTGTAATAATAGATTTATGATGTACATATTTATGCTATGCAGAAATCCTGGGGCCATCCAGGTAATCCTCATTGGGTATTATGAACCCAATAAGGCTTGAAAAGGGTTTAGCATACCCGTCATAGCTGAAGGATGTCCACAGTAAAATGTTAAAATGTTGTCCATTAAACGTTTCGAATGTTTTCTATACGCTGAATTTGACATAAATGTAACTAATGTAAGATGTATATAATATACTTTTTTACTTAATAAAACGTCATTTTATTTCTTATTCTACCACCTCGCTCTATAATTTATGTTCATTTCTACTGTCATTGAAGAGCTCGTTTGATTAGATGTGGTGCTTCTCCTTTTGTATGCATAAAATACTAATTAAATTACATCTCAGCCAACTTACCGATAGATTTGGATGCCAAATAATTAGAAGTAACCGATACCAGTGGATTTTGAACTACGTCATGACGGCATGGAATCGGCACTTTGTTAGAGATTGCCACTAACCAAGATTGCCAAGATTGAAGAGATTGCCAATGAATGAATTGTTGATTTAAATCTGGCTCTTGATTCTTGATTTACGGAGTAGGCTTCCTGGTTTAACCGGTCCTTATATTATCTTATTGACATTCACACCTTAACAAGTACACGAATAAAATGCCTAAGCAAAGCCCCCATCAGTCTGTTAATCCTCAAAGTTTTATAAATTTTCTGATAACTTAAATACTTTCTATTTTCGTAATTTTACGATCAGCTTCTATTAAAGACTTTAAAGCCCTTAGGCCTTCATTGCAATCCATTTTAATGGATTTCTAGAGGTGAATTTTTTAAGTAACTTATTAATGCGATTTCTAATTATTTTGACTCTTAACCCTAGAACAAAAGTGTATGAGTGCCGTGCACTGGTAGACTTTTCTTTCCATATTGCAGATAATACTTGCTCATACGTTGAAGGTATCAGGCATACAAATAAAAAATTGACATTTCAGACTGATTTTAATCAATAATGAAACACTGGACTAAGAAATTAATCTGAGGCCAAAACCCATATGAATTTATTTAAAGGTTATTCTCAGATTGCATGTTATGGAATAACTTAAAAGTTATTTCAATATTCATTGAAACTCCTATAGGTTGCTCATATAGCCTCTTAATGTAATAATAATAATCAATGGCGCTAAAAGCTTTTTTAGTTTTGGGCCTCAGATTTCTGTATCTGTTTCATGATCATTTGGTAATCTAATAGGCAAGTAGGTGATCAGCCTTCTGTGCCTGACGCACGCCGTTGACTTTATGGGTCTAAGGCAAGCCGGTTTCCTAACGATGTTTTCCTTCACGGTTCGAGCGACTGTTTAATGCGCACATAGAAAGAAAGTACATTCCATTCAGTTCCAAGTGCACAGCCGGGGATCGAACCTACGACCTCAGGGATGAAAGTCGCACACTGAAGCCACTAGGCCAACACTGCTCTGCTCTGCCTCTTAATATAAAGTATTATATTATATTTATACTTCAGTACTTTTATCTAAATTATAATAACCAGTTTAGTGGAAAATCTCAGCATAGTGAATTTGTGATTTGTCCAATTGCTTTATATGGTGTTCGTTGTTCACGTTTCATAGAATTAGAATTAATTACATTTACTAACTATTATTTGGCTTGTGACCATTAAATAATATTGATTATACCAACCCCCATTTTTTTAAAGATAATAAAACGGTACAATAGTACCAAGAGGTGCTATAGGGCGGCGCGGGCGGTAGGCACTGTCATGGGCGGACAAATCAACAATAAAAATCGACTAGAAGAAAATCATATTTTTTTTATTTGAAAGGAATCGCCACCAACACAACATATTTTGTTAAATTATCGACTGCTCCTGAATTTCATTTCATTACAGGATTGGTAGGCATAATTCCCATTACGAGTTAATAAAACATATTTGTCTGGCCAATGCCCTCATAAGGCTACGGTCAGCAAAAAAAAATACAATGTGACTCAACGGATTAAATGATATGAAAATAAATAAAATCTCCAGACCGATTCGGCTGTGGATGATCTATATGGAGACTGGCCACCTGGGCGAGATATATATGCACGTTGTGTTACTGTGCTTATTTATCTATTGTCGAGCCTACATATATACCTTAAGAGTATTATAGTCAAACAATACCAGTGTATTATAAATATAATTCTTACGAGCTAACTTACTTATTTACAAAGTTGGCACTTGCTATACAAACATTCCAAGAATATTCCCTTGAGTATACAACAAATTACATCAAACCTCATAGGTCAATTATGATAACTTATAATGAAAAGTCAATCGACTTTGATCCGCAAGTAATCGAAACAAGTTTGTCAAACAAAGGTTAATTTATCAATCGAAGCTTGATCGGATTCAGGCTGTTACGGACCAGAAAAGTTTTCTGGTAAAAGAACCTTCTTTAATATTTCTGGCAACTTTGTTAACACAGAAGAAAGCCTTCGAGTAAGAACCATACCTTATGTTGCTAAATAAGTATTATGTTCAACATGTATGGAAATTCATTACTTTCGAATAAAAATAGGGCGTAAGACAGAAACAAACATGTTTAATGTTTATGCTATAAACTAATGAATATAACTGTATACAATTAAGATATAAGCTTTAGAAATTTATATCCAAATTTATTGAATCAAAACAAATAAACCACATTCGTATTTTTCGAATTATTGAAGAAGACGAAACAAATTTATATTAAAATTATTTTATATAATATAAAAATATATTTATAAATGACTAGAATGTTAAATAAATCCATTAAAAAGTTCTAAATATAACAGAGGATTCTTCAATTAATATATTAATATTAAAATCCTTGTTTATCTTTTCTGATCAGTACCGTTGTTGGGAAATTCATAACATTGTTATTAGTAAGGTGATTCACGTGTGACGATGCAGCGGTTTTGAAGCGGCGATGTTTTGTGTCTAACTACGATCAAATTTGGTTTTCGCAAAATTTCAGATACTTAGGATACGATTCAGTCACGACTTGACGAACAGATGTGATAATTCGTTTAAAGTCTCGAGTCTGAATATAAATATTATTCATTTTTGTATTCGTTGTAATATTACCGTTAATTTCTAAGTAACTGAAATTTGCATATATTAATTAAGAGAAGCGTCGTACTCAAGTGAAAGTCTCTTGAATAAGCTTCAATTGAATAAGAAAAAAACTACTAAAATGAACAATTAGTATAAGATATACAACTGTATCACGTACGACTTGAAGCCTTTGAGAGAATATATTGTGATAAAATATTTTAGGATCCAAATAGGCAGTAAACGGGAGTCTGTAAAAAATATTATCAGCAACTCACAAATGTAAAAAAAATTTGTAGGAAATCTATACTTTAATCTACCAACCACCAATTGCCTAACAGACATACTAAAAGTATGCTCTAATCCCCATTGCTGGATCACGAAACATTACCACTTAATAATTATATACATTAAGTGGTATAACATACCATTTTATTTAATAATACAGCGCTAAAAATATCTTTTATGGTTTGGTATGATAAAAATATATATAACTTCTTTTAAAATATACTATATATACGAACACAAGTACCGCATAGTGCCATATGGTTTTTACCATGGATACACAAATAACATCTTTAGTCCACGTAATAAAGCTTTATTCCGCGCACTGGTAATCCTAGTTATAAGATCATTACCGTGTGCGCAGAAACATTCATCATTCATTAGCATTCATTCCCAAATTATTCATTTCATTACTTTTAAAACAGAAAACAATACAAATTTTGATGAGAATTAGCCATTCAGACTCATGTCATTCAGTCATTAAGACTATGCTTTGTGCGTTTAGTTTGGCATTGGGGAAACCGATCTTCTTGCTTGAAGTGCTTTGTTATCACAATATGTTCTGATATCTGCGATTGACTGCATCAGGAATACGGGAACATCGTCGTCGCGTTTCTGGAAAAAGAAATATTTTCTGACCTTTGTACCTAAAGTTATATAATTTAATTATCGTGCACTGATACAAATAATGATTATTTTATCATGATGGTTAGATGGTTAATATAAAACGATTTTAAATATGATTTTGGTTTTTGCCTAGTGTCTTGAGCGTGTGTCTCTCACCCCTTAGATCGTGAGTTCAAATCACGGCTGTGCACCAATGGAAAGTCTTTTTTATTTGCGGTTTTAACAGTGGCTCGTACGGTCAAATAAAACATTGTTAGGAAACCGGCATATCAGTCAATTAAAAAAATTATCACGGAACAGATACAGTAATCTTTGGCCAAGCCTCTGAGGTTGCAGAGCCACTAGTTTTTTTCTATTGATGTAAGAACGTCATTTGAGGAACCCTATTCCTATTAGTACTAGTCTATAGTATAGAGAAAAGCTGTACTAAAGAAAATAAAATATAATGCAAAAAGACACAAAAGGGTTAAAGCTTTTGTTTATACTGACCCAATTTTGTCTATTTCATAGATTTTAAGTTCAATTCAAATATACTTTGAAATACAAAAGTGCCAAACTTCAAATCTAAGGTTAAATATGACAACCTTTCAAAGTGCCACCCACTTACTTGGAATAACACTTCACCCTCGAAGTAAGTTAGATGATATTTTCGCGTCCTCAGCAAAATACCGACCAACTTATCGGATATTACCGTGTATATCTGAAAATTGAATTCTATTAAAATATCTTAAGAATTTGTATTTATGGAGTAGTAGAGGAACGTGAGATCTTTTTGAACATACAAATTGTTTCGAAACTTTTCTGTTTCTCACAAGAAACCGGTTTCTAAGCTATTCCTTAATCTTATATCATATCAAATTCGAATTATAAATTATCAAACCAAAAATATTCATTTATAAACATAATACAAATTGAGTGCCACCATATATAGGCAGGGTAATTCATTAATTTAATTTTAATTATTTTATTCAAAACTTCTTTTTTATTACTTTGTTTCATAGCTTCGGAGCTGTAGCTAACCTGTAGCTAGACTGTTGTGTTAATATTGTGATAAGCTCGCATTTATAACCGTCAAATATTTTTAAGCAAACATTATATTAATCATATATTATATCATTATATTAATAATCAGTCAGTATTACAAAACCTAAAAATATTGTTAAAACAAATATCAGCATTAATATTTTTATTTCCTGCCATTTCATAATATTATTGCACCGTATCATCGCAGATGTAGGCAGATAATATCTCAAACAATTCCAGTATTTCAAGGTAATCGGCGCCGGTTAAAGGAAAAATTTTTTTGAAGTTATCGACTATAGGTATTCTTTTCTGAGTTTATAATGAAGCGTAACTAATTAAAAATATTTATTTACAGACATCAGCGGCCAATGCCTAATTCGGTTTGGCGCGGTGTTGCTAATTATTAGCGAATGGATGCCAAGTTTAATGTCGGAATGATGTATGCCGACGGAAACGGAATGCTTTCTGACGTCACTTGTGAATTGAACGCTTTTCATAAACGTTGTTAATAAATTACAAACAACAATGAACAACGTTTAAAGGTTAGAGGTACATAATTGATTAAATGGTATAAAATTACATATTACATGCAAGAGTTTTAGCATATTTTAATGAATTTACAATTCAAATTTTTTACAATATTGTTGTTGTTGTTATTTACCTTAACTTTCACTACTTAATCTTAATTACTTAATCTTTCTATCAAACTGTGTTTACGCTGTGATGAAGAGTCAGTTCACTGAAGTGTATTTTTTAATAGATATGTACTGTACTATGTTAAACTTAGAAGTTTGTTTATTTAAAATCACAGTTAGATTAAAAAATTTAAATACGCTATTCAAAACCAGTTTTGTCAGTAATTAAACCTTAAAGTAGAAAATATATCTAAATCAAAATAAAGAAACTATAAAATCGATCGCAAGTATTTGAAATTACGCGAAAATTATCCGATATTATAAGATAGGTATCTCATGTTTCTATAATAACGTATTTTCACGTCAATGTATTTCTAGAATGTTCACCCTTCGAAACTTAACCCTCACAATATAAAATTAATAAAACGCAGACAATTTAAATCTAAACTTTATAAAATTTTTGTGTATAATTTAAATTCTATTCAAATTTCGAAAACAAATTTCGTAAGTTTCATTTCAAACAAAAAATTGTCTCGCCGATAACGGCATACAATCAACTAATCTCTTAAAGAAGTTTTATTAAAATATGAATACCTAATACCATATAAGTTGTTTAGTTAAAATAATGTGGTAAATAGTAAAACGCAACAACATCGCCAACATCGCTCAGTAAGATCAGCTCAAAAATCTCTCCCTTTTGTAAACGTGATTCCGTATAGTTCCATATACGAAGCACTTCTTAAGCATTCCATAAATGTATACGTATACTTTCACGATAGCTGATCGATTTCAACTACTATTCGTTCTCAGGTCTGCTAGCCCCAACACATTCACTTTTTCTTTTATTATTCATAAATAATATTTCCAAGTATTTAAAAACTGCGAAATCTAAATATCTCTTTAAATTCTATATTCTGTTATACTCCTATAATTGGATAATAAGAATGGTACGAAATTACATATTTTCCTTCTAGGAAGTGCTGGCGTCCAATTTCTTAAATTTGAGGCTTATTCCAATTAAGTATTTATTTGTTTTATAATAAGCTTGTTGGATACACAATACAATTTACCGGTAAGTTCGGTAAGTCGTGTAAATTATTAGGCTCAAACCTGATCAAAGTAGGGCAGTAAGAATAACAGTAATAATTAGAAGGAGCTTCTGCTCTCACCGCAAGGAGTTATCGTAAATGTGGTGTAAAATTAAACTAGTAATATATAGATATTGAAAAACTTCGCAACAAATTAAACAGTTTCAAATATTAAATTTGTAAATAATTTTGCTATCGAATTATTGACTCTGGTTACGAACTTATTCCGAACGAATGGCTTGATGAAGTTATGGATAATTTTACAATTTAATTCAACGTATTTATTCATTTGGTTGATATTAATAATAGGAGATTTCGTAGAATTGTATTTTCTCTGTCTCCAAAGTGCGTTAACCGAAGGATTAAAATTGGAATCACTAGATCGGAATAATTTTATTTGCGTGTACGTGTATGATAAAATTTGTTTTTATTCGATTAATCGTATTGTTGTCTGGGTTTAGATTTCAATTAGTCTTAATTCAAAATTTAAAGTTAATTATGGCACTAATAGAACTGTAAACAAGTGCGCTATACATTAAAACACAGCTCGATATAGATTTAAAGCAAATCTATAAGGAGTTAAAATTAATTATCGCTGCCTTTACGAGCCTCTTAACTACGTTCAATGGGTATCCTTATCTGTAAATTTGGTTCAAGTTATAATTGAATTATGGAGATGCAAGGTGAATCGCAAACGTGATATTAAGCTTTGTAGAAGAGTTACTGATGAATTTTAAGTTATTTCCTTATAGTTTGATGTTAGCTTATTCAGTATTTGATAATACAAATTTATTAAAAATAAGTCAATTTTGTAGGCATTTTTGAACCATTCTATATATCCGGAAAGTACACAGATACACCAATATACAATATTTACCAAAGTCTTAACCTACATAGTAATAATAATAATTAAAAATGGATAAATAGACAATAAAAACAAATTTAAAAAGTTTGGTCCCTGTGGCAGTGTACCTTTTATGCTGGCAGAATTTTTTCGCTGTATTACGATACTTATTCGTTGAGGAAAGCACCAGCTTTGGGGTCACCGGTACTATCTACGAAGCGCCAACATAAATCTTTAATTAGCGCCTGTGCTCTTCAGGCGCACCAGACCTCAAGGTCGATCAAGTAAAGGCCCTGACGGGTCTTATCATCACCCAGGCACAACAGGCATGGAACAGGAACTGAAGACAGGGGAGAGTAGAGGAAGTAGTACGGCGCCAGTAACACTACCTTCAGAAATGAAGAGTGTGACTGAAGAAGTGCACTTGATCCCCAAGTGTCTCTACTCCAAAGGGGAAAAAATTAAAGATGGAGGAAAGAATACACCAATTACATTTATAGTTCGATACATTCTTCTTTCAATCCTCTTTTATTACTTTTTGTTTTGCCATTTAGTTACGTTGTTATTTATGTGTCTAATTTAGCAAAAGGTCTTGAAATATTTTCCGCATGTATCACCGGAACACGTGCCAAGATCATTACTGTCAGTCGCAATGATCTGACGCTAAATAACCTGACAATGACTAATAAAATTAACGAATTTAACAAAAGAGTATCGTTTATTGGCCAGGATAGAATGCGAGGCGGAAATTTTGCTACGCTATTATGAAACCGGCCGGCTTATAGAAAATTCCTAGATATTTTGCGTTTCTATGCAAAAATTATACTGAGTTTGTTAACCCTAATACACGTCGTCAACTATGTTCAGTGTTTACCCTGTCTGTTAAATTCATACATTATGAAGCTCATTTTACAAGAATATTGGTCGCTAAAGTTAATATTTACACATTGATATTGATAATGTAATGAAACATGTTGTTCAAGATAACAATCTAATTATTTATTTTAGAAATGTTTCTTTCTATCTGCAAGCAATGTTGGTCTGGTGGCTTCATCGTACGAGTCTCATCACGGAGTTCATACGTTCGATCCCCGGCTGTGCAGTAACGTACTTTCTGTCTTCCTGTCTAACACTCGCTCGTACGGTGAAGGAAAACACTGTGCGGACAATGTCATGCCTTAGACCCAAAAAATGACCCAAATGTGTCAGATTTGTCAAGGTCTATAAATAAAAATCAAATCAATCAGAGTCCAAGGCCATATAGGGTGGAAGCGCCGTTCGATTATTAATTATCTTTTTGTCTGCAAAGTTACATAAAGCGATGTGAAGATCTATATTATTCCCTTTTCCAAAAATCGAATTTTCAAGAACTCAACTGAGCAGTTAGAGAGAGGGTTAGACACAAATTTTTGCATTTGTGACCGTTAAATTAACTCGAATAATTAATTTTATAACAACAAAAACAATTATATGGAAAAAAGAGCGTATCCATACACGTCGCGTAGTATGTAATATATGGAAAATCTATACTATTAATATAAGTATTAATAAACCTGAATACTGAATACATAAATTTTAATGGAACTGAGGAAGTTTATCATAAACACGGATATTTTAAGAAGTATTATTCAATGCGCCAACGCATTTGTCACTCATAATTATTTGTGACATAAGGAATATTTATAGGTGCTAATGAGTTCCACTCTAGTGGATAATATTGTTAAAATTATTATAAAGACGTGTCCTAATTTCTAAGAGAAAACAAAATGAGAGAGTAAACACATTATCTATACATATTATAGTGAATTATGAGGATGTAGTTTTAGGTATAAAAATGGTTATGACTACACAGTCTCAATTGGTTGGAATAAAACTATAATTGTTGGTACGGCAGACAAAGATATGCATGTACTACCCGTGCCCGGTTCGGTTGTTAGTAATATAATAAGAAATATTAAAATGCTATATTTGTTGAGTACTAAATTGGTAATTTAGATAATTGAATAATTACATACTCATGGTAATAACGAAAGATATACGTAATTTAATAACATATTAAAGATTGACTGAATAGTGTCGCCGTAGTGGCTTATGTAGCGCGTTCATTTCCTAGCTCATACGCTGAAAGCATAATTTTTAAGTAAGCCGGCATACCAGGCACAGATCGCTTGTTTTCAAATAAATATGCAATGTATGGCTATAGGGTTGTATTGTAAATTATTATTATTAAAATATATGCCGAATTTTATGATATCTATGAGAGAACAAGTTGCATTTCAAACAAAGTCTTACAGAAGCTAGCCATATTAAAAAAAAAAAATTGTGGTGGGGCATAAACATATGTAAAGCACATGCGTAAGGAAAATTATAAAATTGTATGAGCGATTTTAGATTGAGAGTAATATTACGTTACTGTTTGTATATTAGACTTATTACGCAGTCGTAGCTTGAGCATATAGCTAGTAAAGAACATTAATTGTAAAATACTAGAGGCTCAGCTTCTCACGGATATTTAATATTTTTTAATACATATTTTAAAAAATATAGTAAAATAATAATAAGCCAATATGCCAATATAACAAAGCTTTCTAACGATAAAGGAGTTTTTTCAATCAGCCCAGATGTTTTTGTTTATTTCCAAACATACAAATCATTCCTCTTTGTAATATAACTATAGTACATTTGACGACCCATTGGTCTAGTGGTTAGTACACCTGACTGCGAATCCATGGGTCCCGGGTTCGATCCCCGGCTGAGACGAACATCGATGTGATGAGCATTTGGTGTTGTGCTTAGGTCTTGGGTGTTTAAATATGTATTTATATGTCTATCTATCTATAATATGTATGTTTATTCGTTGCCTAGCACCCATAACACAAGCTTCACCAGCTTAGCATGGGACTAGGTCAATTGGTGTGAATTGTCTTAAAAAAAAAAAAAAAACATTAAACAAGGTATAATTGAATGTATCAGTTCGGTAACGTGTTGGTCAAGACCAAGATACAAAAACTGAAGGAGGTTTCAATTCGAAATGAACTTTTATTGATAATTCGTAAATTGATATAATAATTTAATATATATAACGTCTGTCAATTGTAGATTTAAACTTTTCAAGCTTAAAAGCTTACCGTGAAAAGTTCCCCGAACGAGATAACTTTTGTAGCGCACTGAAGTTCCGGCGGAAGGAGACCTTTGCACGGTGATTTTCCGTACTGATTGATAATCTCGCAAAGTTCTTTCATCTCTGTGCATACTCTTGCCTGTGCCTCTGCTCCTCTGGATTCCGTCTTTGATCCGGGGATAGGTCTTAAAGAAAAATAAACATATTTACTATTTGTTTGTGCGTTTTAAAATAAATTTGTATATCTACGTTTAATCTGTGTATATTTAGGAGCGTTGTATTGGGCTAACATTTTGTTGCGGAGTTATACAAAATACATTTGTTAATGACACAACAGACAAATATACAATATTTACAATTTCCTTAACCTACATTATAATAATAAAAATTATTATAAAGACAATTATAACAAATTAAAAAAAAAATTTCCGTGTGGCAGTGAAAAGCAGCAGAAAGATTATAACATTTCTTAAGGTATTTATTGTCATTAAATGATTACAAGGGCAACTTTGTACTGAGTTAAATACTTGTCATGAATATCATATTTATTTGGACAAGGATTATTATCATATAAGTTATAAATAGATATAATAGAATTTAGGTTTTAAGATACTAATATAGGATATGGCATTGTTAATAATTTAATTGCTAAGTCATAATTTGACATTTGCATTCAAGTGGTTTCTTTATTCATCCATTATAATGTGTATCACTTTCAAGGCAAATAAAGGTTTCATTATTATTATTATAAAAAAAATATTGCGTGTACTTATGTATGCGCGTAAGAAGTTATAACTTCTTTGGCATTATTAAAAATAGTTCTTGATTGCATGCAAATAATTTATTACAATTAAATAATCAAAGACTGGAAAAGGAGTCATTATAGTCAATAAAGTTCAGTTTACATTTGAAAAATTAAATAAATAAATATATATTACTATTCTCTTACATTAAGTGTAACATAAATTCTATTATTATTCAAATGTTGTTTTTAAATTATGTCCAATGCCGTAGCATCTTCCGTGGGCAACTTCAATCTGTTAACTTTGTGTCACGGTGCGCGCGCATCGTAAAATTTCAGTCTCATTGATTTTTCATAACGCACCTAAAGAAGTATAACTTCAAAAACTTTATAAATACTGGTTTAAACTAATGTTTTTCTGTAAGAATAAAAAAGCCGTCGTGGAATAACAATTTATTTAGACAATTTTAACAAAAATAACGCCATTGTGTGTGGCAGAATATGCGAAGTTTAGATTCTACCACCATAACATTTTTGTACCACATTCTTGCAAATAAATTATTTTTATTATAGCTACCATCTGGGACTCAAATGTGTATTTCAACCTCAGAGATTGATAAAAATATTAATGTTATATGTGAGCTATTTGTAAGCAGCTATATAATCATGATAGTTGCGTATAATTTGAAGAATGTAGGATAACATACTAAAAATATCTGAAAATTTTATCACTGTAGAATAAATTCCAAAACTTTTAAGTAAATTAATAAAACTTATGACTTGTAAATCTCCCTCCCTCGTACGAGAAAATAACGAAGTGAAATATCACGAATCACGTTTTGTAATTACTGGAGGTGAGATGGATGAAGCTGTCAAATTGACGAGCGTGCCTTAACATACACGGGAACATATGGAAAAATATAGAATACGAGTGAATATTCATGTAAAATCAAACTAAAATATCGAACAGTCTATTGGTCTATTGAGTTGAGTTTCCCTTATTCTTGAGGTCGTAGATTCAAACACCAATGGACTTTTATTTAGATGTGCGAACTTCATACTCGCTCGCTTCAAACCGCCTTCAGCCTCACAAGTCAACGGTGTCTGTCAGGCATAGAAGGCTGCTCACTTACTTACCCCTTAGAAAAAAGAATGATCACGAAAACGATTCAGAAATCTGAGGACCAAGCAATCTCAAGACCAAGGCTTTTTTGTAACTAATGTATCAATAATTTATTGATGCATCTCATCTAACCTATTTACTTATTATTCGTAGACTATCATCATATTTTGACTATATGTTATCTGAAAAATACGTTAAACTTACGAAATCCTGCCAAGAACCATATACACATGTTTCGTAATTAGCAATTGTTTAACTTAGTTATATTAGCTTAGTTAATTAACCTTACTTGGAATTCGAATACCTCAAAAAACCCAAAGATGTCATCTTGTTAAAAATCTGTTTTGATATTTCTGGCAGGTCTGAGAAGTACCAGAAATATCAAATATAATTAAATATATTTTTCGTTTATATTTGAACATTAGTATTGGTCAATTCGCATATGTAAAACGCACTTGCAGATTGGTATCAATAAAACATCATTTATTGATGGTTGATTTGAATGATGATATGATTTTCTTATTAACCTTTATTTTGTTTAGCTGTAAGCTCATCAATACCAAAAACCGCGGACACTTCAAAGTATCTGCATCTTGATTGCTACGTGGATTAAATGGGAAAAAACTCAATCGCTCTATCCGAGATCAAAACTGAAAAACCTATTTTCCATGTAAATAAAACAAGCAACAATAGACCCACACCTACAAGTATCCGAATCAATCAAGTATGTCAATCCGTACATTCATCACTTGTTCAAGTCAGGCGAGTTAAATCGTGTTCAATTAATTAAAGTGAAGCTTTGAAATTCTGAAAAATTTTGGTAGACTCATTTTTGTAAAATAAAATCACCAAATTCATTGTAAAATAAATGCAAAAATGTTTCACTAAGAATCGAACAAATCCTATATATTAGTTCCTAAATTTCTGCAATTAATAACTGATAGCCGATAAAATCTGAAATAAAGCTTCGCTGATGAATTGATCTTTACTGAAAGACGTATTAACCTTTTTGGTACGTGTTTAACGCGTGGTTTGAGAGTATGAAATCGTCTTAAATGTAATAGATAATAAAGACGTAAGGTTACTTTTTACCCGTCAACTCTATACATGTTAATATTCCATAGTTGCCTTAACATCGCTACATAATACTTCAATAAATCTCGATTAGATATTAATTTTCAAACTACAATTTGTTGCTTGAAATTGACTTAATAGTAATAAGTAATAACATAGTTGTATTAAATTAAATACAAGTCAGCAGTGTCTCATTGCGGAGAAATTCTCACAAATTTCGTCGTTAATGGATAAACACACAATGTTCTGTCTTAAGACAGATTTAACTGTTATTAAGAATCCATTACAACTGCTGTCATCGTTATCCAAAGTATCTATGTTGTATTTTTTACCTTTAATTTCAATTTAAATTGGCTTGCATGCGTCAGTATGTTGCACATAAGGTGCCGTGTAACATTAGTGTCCTCAACAAACGCCAACAATGCTGCGAAATTTCCATTTCAGTAAAACCTAATTTGTTCATATCGTTAGTCAATAGTATATATGTACAAATTGACCAAGTTAATGTTTAATAATTTTTTTCTTTCTTATTGTCTATAATTTTTTAATGGGTTACGTTAGTTAATGTTAGCAGTGGTTAGTAAACAAAATTACCTATCGTGGGCCATGGACATCGTTATATATAATATAGACTTATTGCTTGTTCATAAAAATTAATTTGTAATCATAAATGGTAATGTTTATACATAACACTTACTGAAATTTGATACCAAATCTACCCTGAGGTAACTGTAAGTAAGTGATATAGTCAAATTACACTATGCAAATAAATGTTAATTGTACACATAGAAAACCAATTGGTACACAGCTGAGGTCTTAAAGCATAGGCGCAGCGAAGTTTGAGCGCAGGTTTTATTAGGTTACTACTGCTGAGAATAAATAAGTATATACAAATATAAAAAAGAGGACAGATATACAAATCTTTAAGTCAACATCCGGATAATTTGTTGTGAAGGAGCTTCGAACGAGAGATCTTAGTTTCAAATCCTCTTATTATGAGGGAGAAATGATTTCAAGATTAAAATTTACGTTTAACAAGTTTTTTATTGATTGTTATTATTAATCCTTATTATTATTATATACCTAGCTAGTTATTTGAATGCTTGTACATCGCTGTCCTGGGTTCAAATTTTGGGATAATAGTATTTGTTGCATAGCCAGGGCATACAATCAAGATCCGTTATAAAAAAGGTGTATTTTCTTAAGTTTCAAAAGGTTTCATTTTCGTTTTATATGACCTGCAGTTACGATGTAGCCACTCCCACGTGATATAACCTATAATCAATATTTTCTTACTTCTAAAGGTTTGTATGTGTCGACTTGCACTAGCAATTAAACACGTGTAATGAAGCTAGTAATTAATACCTACAGTCGTTCAATCAATGTATGTTAATAAAGGTATATTTTTATTTCCTAAAAAATATATTTATAAAGCGCAAATCTCAACCGCCAGCTCAATTGTATGGTGTAGACTGACATAGATACTGAGATTATACTAACTTAAACTGAAATAAAACCATATTATATTGTAACCAACGCTTGTGTTTTGATCCCAGATTTCTATATTTCTTTATTTGACATGCCGAACATGACAATATCACTCCACCTTGTAAAACTTATTCGCCTTGTATAATTAATTCGCTTTTCGAAAATTCCATTGGATTGGAGATGATGTGTATATAATATACAGGGTTCAAACGGTCAATGTTTATGTTGACAATCGCAAGCTGAACCACGAGTCTAAGGTTGGCAATATCACAAGTCTATAGATCCTTAAAATATAAATATTAACTTGATACTAAAAGCATAAAAGCAAAATTTAGTACCTTCAAATTGGCAACGTATTTTGCGGTTTACGCAACCATATGTTATCTTCGCTTTCGGAACACTAACCTAATTAAAAGCGAATTCTTTCCAATGTTTATTTGAATCTTGCTACAAAATTGGGAAGAACAAATGAATGAATGTTCTTGAACAAATGAAAAACATTTTATTCTAGTCATGAAACAAATATTTTACTAGGATCAAAACTAGACGTAGTTGTACGTTGTTGTTTTAGGACGCACTAAAGAGTGTCTTGGTTGTCTTGGACAATGGAGATACAATTACAAGTAGGTAAAATGTAAATCAATAAATAAAAGTAAAAAATAAAATATTATGTAATTTTGAAATAAATTAAGTTGGTGGTGTTTAATGATATTATCACAAAGTTATTTGCCAGAAAATTCGTGTACATTTCTATGGATTTTATTTTGTTTTAGCAATAAGGAATTGGGTCACCTTGTAATAAATGCGTATTAAATTTAAACGTACTTTATATAATAAGTAGCTAATTAATATGGTAACGAATCCACATTAAAGTAGTGTATATAACTGTATAAACGGAGTAAAGAGCATCCAAGGCGTAAAACGGCCGAGAAGAAATGGCAAGAAACTCTTCACCATTCTTTTAAATTACTTTTCTATTTTACTAGATGCTTGTAATATCTGTAACAACTACACCTCTCAACATGTCATGGACATACTCGTACCAGCATAATAACCAAGTCTGTCGAAATATTCGATATTTATAAAATGGTCAATATTTCCGTTTTCACAAATATTACATAAACGAAACGATTACATAATTTTTCTTTAATTATAAGACTTCAAAAATCACTATTGTACTCATGTCAGACGGCAAAAGCTGGCTAGACTATGAGGTATCAGGTTTCAAAGCTCAGATTGACATTGACACATTTCTAGTTTAATAATAAAAGTTTAAGAACGGAAATGCCAAGGTTTTAAGATACCTCTACGGTAGTCTGTTTGCCTGTTTTAGAAAAAGATTTTCGCTGTTAGTTTAAGTTAAGAATATGAGAATATACTTTATGATACGTATAGTACGTACATAATGTACGCGTACATGACTTTGCTTGGGAAGATGGCAGATGTACTCTTATGAAAATCGTTACATTCAAAAGAAATTACGTATATATTTGTCGTTTATAATGCTTTAACAAATTACTGTTCGTTACGGTTCTTTAGGGAGTAACAACTAAAGACAAAAATGTAATAGATAGTCTTATAAGACGGCTATTTAGAGGAATACTATTTTATGAATAAAAAGTCTGACTAATTAGGTAAGAGCGGCGATGGCCGTATCCCTGAGGTCGTGGGTTCGATCCCCGGCTGTGCACCAGTGGACTTTCTTTCTATCTGCGCATTGAATATTCGCTTGAACGGTGAAGGACAACATCGCAAGGAAACCGGCTTGCCATAGACCCAAAAAGTCGACGGTGTGTGTGTGCCACATGAGGGTGATCATCTACTTGCATATTAGAATGATCATGAAACAGATACAGAAATATGAGGCCCAGACCTAAAATCGTTGTAGCGCCACTGATTTATTTATTTATGTGGTAAGTAGGAAAGTCTTTCATGCCTTCTCAGAGAGTTAAAGATTTAACAATCTGAGATGATAGCTGATAAATAAATACAAAATTCTAAATTATTACATAACAAGGCGAGTGATAAGATCTAAGTAATAACTCACTTGCCATATTCATCCTTTGAGAATGTGGGTTTGTGGTTCTTGTCGAAGCTGCCGCTAAATGCTGTTATTTTCTGTAGGTCTGTGTGCGCCTGCGCTTTTGTGTCGAACGCCGAAATTAAGTCCGTTAAAGAAGAACTCTGTAAGAAATATTAATAAATTTATATATAGTTTTTATATGAATCAGATCAGCCTCGGCAGGACGAGGTTTTAAAATATACCTAGTAGATCCTAGTACAGACCCCAGTAGTAGTTCAAGAGTCCTAGGGTAAGGGTAGAGTTGACTCTAACCGTGGGTCAAAAACTGATTAAATTTTTGACCTGTATATGGATAAGAATATCATGATTTTTAATTTTACCCATAGTAATAGGATCTTCTATTCACCCAGTCGTAGTCAAAGTGAAATATTAACAGTTTAGGGTTACTATAGCAATTTATTAAATGAAATAAGTCCTCTATCAATCCAATCAGAACATAACAAGTCTGAGATTGCTTTAAAGATAATTTAATGGACGGCTCGAGATACAAAAGGATGCATTAAAATAGTACAAAAGCTTTTCTTACTTTTAATAGTTTTTTCAGTGTAAATGGCCATGTTAAAAACATTGGAACTACGTTAAAACATATTGAAATCTTTTGGTGTATTAGAATTTATAACGAAATACAAAATGAGAGCATGTTTGTGTTGACTGTGATTTGTGTGTTTTTCGTTTAATCTGATTCAACGAAAAGACGCCAGGCGCCCATTAGTTGCTTTTTGCCGTCCATATGTAGAACCAGATGCCTACAATTAATCGAAATTGGACACAATAATTATAAACGTTGTTTAAATTCGTCTTATGCATATATTATTGTAACTGAATAGTTTATGCAAATATTGTAACACCCTCCTTTCCTATTGGGTATTTTTAAAAATCCTGGAAATGTTCCAATTAATATTAAGCATAACATTTTCCTTTTCGAGCTTATTCCGTCAAAGACTTTATCAAGGATAAAAGAGTGGCCGCACTGCGGAGTTTTATCCCGGCAGATAAATTTCAATTGCATATAACTACAGTAAAACTGTGAATAGTATTTTTATCTGTAAATACAGAGTGTGTATTTTATATATTTAAAAAAATATATTGTAGTGATAATTTGAAAGACGTGTCGTTTTAGGGTGATTTGTAAAGACAAGAATTCTTTAACAACATTAATTGCATGTAAGGTCCACTTCAAGGTGCTAAAATTGTAAATTATAATTATGAAATAAATGAAACAAAATAAATTATGATAACAGTGTGCGTCTTTTTGTGTTGATTTTCATTAAAAAAAAATATTTTTATTTTTAAGCGATATGTGTATTTAGATATTTATGGAAATAGAAAAAGCTAATTTGTGCATGGATTTGAAAATTTATTTAGAAAAAACAGCGACCTATCTTTGATTATATTTTACGCGCCTAAAACTCGTGGTCAGTAGTTCGGCCTCAATGTATCACTAAGTACAAAAGCAAAATGATGTACGTTTTAAGAATAAACACTTAAGATCAATATATAATATTTAAATTATTCTCTGAGATATTTTCTTATTGCTCAATTCACATTTGGTAAGTGATCCTCTTTTCAATGTTATGTTAGAAATTTGGCGATTACTTTACCGATAAATGCATATTTATTTTATGCACCTAACCTCTAAGCTTGGATTTTTAACACATTTTTTCACATTCTATAATATAATATATTAAAATATATGCATTTAAAAATATTATTAAGTATTATTTTTTAAACAAATAATAGTACACAGCAACTACTAACTAAATCATTGACCTTCTTGTATGGAAAGGTTTCGAAGTTGTTTAAAATTTGTGAAAAATTAATACTGTTTGAAAAGTTGAGTGCTTTTTCTCTGGAGTGTAAGCGTGTTCGACGTTAAGAAGGCTCACAACTATAGCCAGCCTTTAAAAATATATTTATCTTTTTATGGTTCTTAAGATGTGTATGATGCAATCTTGTCAGATATGTCAATATTTTATACAAATAATCGATGATAAATAATTTATTTTCAAATAAATATATAGATTTTTTTTATTTTTTATAATCGCTTCAATGCCGCCTTACTTTTTGAATTGTTAATATGTTAAAGCTTTTAAATGGTTTTTGAAGACAATGTATTGAAGATACCACAATGTATTGGAGGAATTTGGAAAAATCTGGAGGAGGCCTTTACCCGTGAAGAGGTTCCGATCAATGGTACTGAAGAAAGTTAGGATATCGAGTAACAAGATAAAAAAGTGCGTGCGTACAAAGTACACATGTCAGAAGTGAAATTTCTTTGTACTAAGGTAAAAGCCCTAATAGATGATCATGTACCAGTTAATGATCACTCCATGTATTTATATATCTATATTCACACTGTTTACACACTGTCTTCGTGCTAATGATAATATAAAAAAATAAAAAATCTGCGTTTACTGCACAAGACGTTATGCGACAGAATTTCCATCTAAAGTTCTAATATGTAACTTCTAAACGAATACATCAACCAATAGCGTCTATTTTTTCTCGATCTCCCTTACAATCATTCCCACTTTAGCGCTTTCCCACCTCTCAGTCCATGGCACTGTGCGTGATGCGGCGTTCGATCTATCTCACTCTCTCTCTCGATCTTTTGCACTTGCTTCATGCTACGTTCGCCTTTCCCACTCTCTCTCAATCGGTCTCAATCGCTCTCTCCCTTTTCTTCGACTAAAACGCTGCAACTCTTCGTGACGCTAATATTATTATTATTGCGTTTCATCCGTAAAAAAATTACCCCACCCTAAAGAAGTTTCACTTCAAAAATATATAACAAATCAAAACTGTATGTTCAACATTTGTAAATATTGGAAATAAACGGCCTTTATAATTAAATATTTTTTGGATCAGTGTTAGGCTAGCCTCTTGACACTCAAACTTTATTTAGTGCAATCAAATCACGGTTATTCATATAAAAAACAATTATTAAACATATGCATACGCAATGAATATGATCACAACGTAATCTTAATTTCGGTATCTGTTTTATATTATTTGTCTTTTTGAAGAAGGTGTAAGAAGGTTTTCTTTGGTAAGAAGGTGTGAGCTATGTAATCACCAAAGGATGATGTCTTCTGTGCCTGACACGGTACATTTTTAGACGGTTTCTGCGATGTATACATTCTAAATTGAGACACAAGCGCCGAATGACTCCCGTATAATTTTTTGACAAACGTCCTGGTTATTTTATATACCGCTGATTTTAATCCATGGATCGAAATATCTCTGTAATCAGCTGAGGGTCATACCAACTACCTTAAGGTTGTGATTAGCCACTACACGCTACGCCCTACCTGCCATTACAGCTGAAGCGCAAGCGCAACAATAAGCCGTTAAAATGTTCAGTACAAATAACTTTATAATCTCGTATCGGTGCACATTTAATAAATATATTTTACATTCCATATTCTCTGTTTCTATTAATACATCGCCTTGTATGATGAAAATTCCATATGGTATGATTTACGGCGGTAGACCTTGCCAACAGCTGTCCCTAACAGGATCTCGAGAATCGTGCGCAGTCTTTGTTAGTGATGAAAGAAATCTGCCACTTGCCAATGTGATTCATATAAACGTTTTATTCAACAACGGGCTATTATTAGAAAAGCTTTGTTTGTGCGTAGATGTGGCGACGGACGGAAGAACGTCCCGGGACTAATTATTATTTATAGGACAGGCCGTGAGATTTTAAAACGAATATTGAAACAATTGTGCGCGCTCTGTTCGATTTTAATTCGTTATATCATTTTTAGTTTCGTGTCATATCGACATCCGTCGTTCCACAACTAGGTGTTTTTAAAGGCAGCTTTTGCCACGCACCACCACTATGAGTAATCTGCTGCCCATCGATGTATTTCCTAACTAATTCGACTTAGGGTCCTTTAAGAAAAAAGCGTACCAATTCTTAAAAAGGCCGGCCACGCACTTGCGAACACTCTAGCAATGTGAGTGTCTATGAGCGGTGGTATCACTTAACATCAGATGAGCCTCCTGCCCGCTTATTACATTAAAAAAAGTCCAATGCCCATGGTTACGTGATATGATACGTCATGTACACTCCAATGACAATCGAACGCAATGTTCTCATTCTCATTTCAGCCGTACATTATTTAAAAAATGTTCGTACTTGAACTCATTACTAGATAAACTCTGGCTCAACTAAGACTAGAGCTTGTGAAAGTAAGATTCTTTAAGCACATCAGGAGGTGAGTTACTCCGTCTTCCTAACTTAATACTATTGGTTTTTACCGTCCCTACTCGGGATTTAAACATGAACTCATACTATGAGAAGAATATACTTACAGCTAGACTAACGAATCGTGGTATAGGTTTAAAATAATAAAGCTAAGGAATGTTAATTATACTTACCACTAGACAGTATTAATATTTGTCAATTTAATTGGCGAATTATGAAATAAATTTAAAATAGAATAGGAACGCCTAATTTATAGCGCATGTACCCATACTAAACCATAAATCAAAATATTCTTATTATAATATTTATCAAACAAGAAAACCTTCGATATCAATCCTCCTGAGGCCTTTATGGCCGATAATATGTCACAACTAATCCCCAATGGTGATTTATATACGCTTAACAAACGCGTACCTAAAACTATTTTTATACTTTCCTTTACAAGCGAAGTGGTATAATTTATTATGTAACATTTTAGAATTAGCGGACACGAGATTACGCATAGACACGAATGCGTAAAAGTCTAAAGTCAAAAATCATTTATTCATACGAGTATAGGTAACACAATGTACACTTATGAACGTCAAAAAAGAAATATACATAAAGGTGGGAACTGACCAACGTTACGAGGTGTAATGTAACACGTTACACAGCGAGCATTCGTGCAGCCAGTACGTCGTGTTGCGGGGAAATCAGCGAGCAACGAGCCGCTCGTTGCTCACTTAGAGTGCTCCACCCGGCTGTCGGTTTTTCGGCGAATCCTTTGACTGTTACGCGGTTTAGTTAAAGCGGAGCACAGAGTTTTGACAAGCATGTTACGCGGATTTTAAAACACAGCGTAACATGCTCGATGCGTAACACGCTCGATGCGAATGCTACATTACACCTCGTAACTTTGGTCAGTTCCCACCTTTAAATGCTTCTAATTTTACATTTACTGCCAGTTCTCAAATTAAGGGCATAGAACGGAACAGAAGAACAGGCAATAAACTCTCCGTTTTACAACGATTGTAAGAAGCATAAGGCAAGAATTGAATTTATTGTACTATGTAACATAAACTTTCTTTCTTTCACATAGTTTTCAACAGTCCATTGACGAAAACTGTATATA